GGTGGGGGTGAAGGGCTGAGAGAGAGCTGGGGCTCCGGGACCTGGGCGGTCTGGCACCCTAATCCTTGAGCGCAGCTTTCAGGCTCAGATTTAGCTAGTTTCACTAGCAACCACTTTGGAGCTCTATTTTTTAATTTTCCGGTTCATAAATTTTTATTTTAAATATTGAGGTTTCTGCCCAGCCAATAGCCTAAATCATTCAAGCATTTTCAGGAGGGATGTGAAAAAGCTCCAGAGGACTGGAACGAACGAACGGTGTTTAAGAAATGGAAGCCCTAAGGCTTTGTTTCTAAACGCCAAGGGAGAGAGAGAACTTCATTGTGCAACACATCTGTTTCCTTAATCGTTACCTCAAGCGTTCATAAACATGACGCAGTTGAAAATTTGTAGGGTAGATTTTTCCACTTCACTAGCACGCCCTATTATGTATGAATCAGTCATCCATTCACCAAACTCTGTGTTCCAGGAACTCATCCAGTCACTTAGTATTTATTAGTGAACAATATATAAAAAAAAAGCAACAAAAAAACGATTGCAGAGTGGAAATAAGCAATTATAAATTAAGTATTTACACAAACAAAATTATTAAAAGTTCTTTAAATATTTTGCAGCAAAAAGTGCATGTAATGTGGAATGTAGATCACATTACCCAAGATGAAACATGGGATGGTCTTGTAGGTGTATGTTTTGTTGAATGTTTATATACATGTTTATTAAGAAAGTTAGTGTGAATTTGTTAATGGTTAGAAAAGAAAAAGCTCTGCAAATGTTTTTCTTTACCCAGTGAAATTTTTCGTGCATGATTCAATTATGCAATGAACTTTTTTTTTTTTTGAGAAACTATCCTGAGCTGTTCACTAGCCTCTCACTAACCAACAACATAAATCAAAGCAATATAAATTTAGATCAATCTAAATAACATCTCAATAACACTAGCTACATTTCAACAGTTGAATAGCCACATCTGGCTAATGATTATCATATTGGAGTGTACAGGTACAGCACTTCTCCATTACTAAAGGAAATTCTATTGGACAGCTGTATGCTAGAATCTTTACAAAAGTTAGAGAATCTATATAAGAGTTAGATATCAGTGAAAAGATCACTTACATGAAAATCTTCCCATGGTAAAAAATGTTAGAACAAGAGTAAAGCAAATGAGGTGTTCTGGAGAAGCTGGAAGTCTTCTCAGGAGAGTTGACCTTTAAATTTGATCATAGAAGGAAGTATTTTGAATTGAGAAAGATACAGGTTTTGGAGGACTGGTACTATGTGACTTTGGGTAAGTTATTTAACTATATTTGTAAAATATGCAAATAAATGTTATAAACCTCACAGGGTTGTTGTGAGAATTAAATAAATGAGTTATACATGTCAAGGGCCTAGAGCAACATGCTGGAGAGTGTGTTTATTGAGTATAACATGTTTCTAAAATGAACATGATAAGAAGAACATGGATAATTCTACACAGAATGACTGATATGAACAAAGAGAGATGTGGAATTTTTTTAAAATGAGTTTTAGGAAATAACAAATAACCTGTCAGGATTAGAGAAACTGTTTAAGCATTAGCAGAAAGACTAAACCAAGATTTAAATACTAAGGCCTAGAAAGGTAGGTTAAGTCTACAGATTGGGGTTCAATTTTGAGCAGTACTGCTGGAGAGTAAGACTTTTCCTATAATAAATATGCTGTTAAGTAAGTATGTCTCTGATGCACATACACTCATCTGTGGTCTTTGATGCTGGAGCTGGAATTGTGCAATGTAATTTTTCCTTTGCTAAGGATTTTAGATAAGGATTTTAAGTTCTGCTAATAGCAGGGACTAAACAGAAAGGCCAAAAGGCCAGAGGAAGAGAGGAGAGATTTACTGTGTCCCATTTGCTTGCTGTTCATTTCTGTATCACCACAGCAACAAAGCCGCACCTGGCACTGGAAGTTGGTTCCGGTCTCCAACTTTTAATTTTAGTACTACTAGCAGGTTTCATCATGCTCCCTCGGAGATTTTAGCAACCACTGAATATTTGCCCTCCTTGTAAATCCAAGACCTAGATTTTACTCTGGAACAGCTCCTCTAAGCTGCTGAAGGTCAGAACCCGCTGAGTATCTCCTCCTCAGAGGTCTGAGTCCATAGGGCTTTTCCTCCTAGTCCTAGGCTTTTATAATCTCAGCATCTTCCCTGGCATAGATGATTGCTCTCTGAGGCATCTATTTTTGGGTTATTTTTATGGTTTCACTTTAATTTTTCATTCTTCAATGTCTGTTTATGCAGTTCTGTAAATTAGGTTCTTAGTCGTGAATAGATGGAATGACTTCTTTTTCCAGAGCGAATACTGAATGACCCCTGGAATAAAGTTTTCAGCAGCACTGGCTCACCTGTGTCTTACTAAGGCATCTAAGGATCTTGCTTCTTCCTGTTCAGGTCAAGTCACAATAATACCATTAATGTAAAGATCGGTGAGATGTTAAGACACTCAAATATTGCTGCTGATATTGGGAGAGCAAGAAAATTCATTTGGCCTAAAGTAGGATCATGAATATATACTTACAGTCCCCACAGATAAAATGAAAAACTGTAGTCTCTGCAGATTGTTATAGAGCTGAAAAGGTACTTTCCAGATCATAGCAGCACTGCATTTGCTAGAGACTATCATCTTTGACTAGCATCTCACAAGATGTACAGAGGCACAAGAGACCCATAACAAATAGATTTAGTAAAAAGCACTGTTAAATACATTTCCCTTTTCTGATGTCCAGCATCCATGCTGGCTGCAGCACTGAAGTACTTTTGTCTTCATCTGTAGTTAACCTCCAGGCTGAATCTCACCCTAAAACTGCACTATTTCATACTTGTCACAAAGTGGATTTTCAGAATTGTTTCACTTTGGTTCAGGATTTATGGAAATGATGCTTTTAACACTTCTACCATCTCCTAGCAATCTTTTGAAGTTGAATTGGAAAAATACACATGTATCAATTAGGGTTCACCAGAACAGATATAGTACAATATAATATAATATACATTTACGAAGTAGGCTTATAATGGTCACCTGCCTGAGCACAGGAAAGTTGGAGGCTCCATTCGAAAGTCGGAGATAGACCTGGAGCTCACTGCGGAATCAGTGAGAGCCTGTGGGGGAAACTGAAGGCTTTGCCCTAGAAGCTGAAGGGTCTGAGCGAGAAACCTGAAAGTTTCAGGTTTGGAGAGGAATGTGCAAAGGCGATGGCAAAGACCAGAACTCCTCTGAAAAAGCAAAAAGGTTAACTTTGTTCTTTCCTTAAGCCTATTGGTTGGTGTCACGCATCTAGGGTGTGTCTTCCTTCCTTAAATTTCCGGTTACAAATCAGTCATTCAGACACACACAGAACTGTGTCCTACTAATCCACTAGTCGGTTTTTTTTTTTTTTTTTTTTTTTTTTCTGGTACCAGGGATTGAACTCTGGTCTTTGCGCTTGCCAGGCCACTGAACCACTGAGCTAAATCCCTGGCCCAACTAGGCAGTTCTTAATCCATTCAAGTTCACATCACAATTAATTATTACACAGATGAACTAGAAAAGTTGTTTATATTTAAAACAGAACTATATACTTAAGAATATATCTAATATCTATATTACTTCTTGAATATTTTATATTCTAATATTGCAGTCAGTCTTAGAAATAACTACAAGATTTAGTAATTGAATAATTTACTTAAATATTTTGATATCTCATGCTAAACTTAAATTTTGACTAATTTTGAAGCTGAGAGTTGAGAGTCTTGTTTGTTCATCTGTTTAGGGTGCATTACTCTTACATTGAGGCTACTTTTATATTAAAAGTATTTTCAGCACTGGGTGTGGTGGCGCATGCCTGTAATCCCAGCACTCCGGAGGCTGAGGCAGGAGGATCGCTGTGACTTTGAGACCAGCCTGGGCTATACATAGCGAGTTCCAGGTCAGTCTCAACTACAAAGTGAGACCCTGTCTCAAAAAATAAAACAAAACAAAACAAAACAAAACAAAAATAAAAAAGTATTTTCCCCAACAAAATTTATATTAAGAAGATATTGGGCAATTTCTTGTCTTCGTTTTTACACATGAAACTAAATAATGTTCACTGAGGAAATTGTAATTACATCTAATAAGTCAGTTACAACTGATAACTGGAGTGAGTTTTAACTATCACTTTACAAGTGAAAACTCCAACAGGAACAAATATTTTTTTCCTTCCATAAATATTGAGAGACTTAAATTTACACCTTTCTGATTGCCCTGTTAGCTTGTATAGAGGTTGAATCAAGAGATAACAAAATGTTGGAACACAGGCAAGACTATTGCCGATGAAATTATTATGTGAGAATATGGCTGATGTCTGTGGGCTAGAATCTTCCTAATCTGCACGCCAGCATAAGAATAAAGTGCCCCAGTCACAAGTGGGCAGGGCTAAGATCAACTACTGCAAATGTAGGTTATAGAGAAGCAGAACCTGGAGTTTGCTTTCTTGGGTAGCTCAATTCAGATAGGAAGAACAAGGATTTTGCTTGCTCAGATCTCCTTCTAATATAACCAGCCCCATTCAAGTGTTCCTTCAGTGTTTTTTCCCCCCTCAGGAGGTGAAGGGGGAAGTGACACAGTGGCAGTGGGAGGATGGGAGATGCGGTGTGCCATCACCTGCACGGCATAAGGGCCAAAGCCAGGGAGCGTGGTGGAAGATGAATAAAAAAATGAAGAGACAAAGACTATTGCTGAAAGTTGGGACTAGAGGGAACCAAGGCT